GAGCGGAATTTGAAGAAACAGATAAAAAGTAGGACTGCAAACCAACCATGAAATCATTATCTGAAATCTTTAACCCAGAACTATGGTGTAAGAATAAACCCCCCCTCCAACCCCAAAAAAAAAAGGGCAGGTGGGACTAAACCACCACCAGAAAGGACACAAGGAAATGTCCTTAAATGGAACAGAAATATCATCCCTTTCTTACTGCAGAAGAAAATATTTTTTCTCACACGTCTATTAAGCTTTGTTCTATGGAAGAATTTGCTATAGCAATCCTAGCAACTTTGTCCTGGACCTAAAAGTTTAGATATAACATAAATTTCCGCTCTTTAATTTCACTCACTTCATAAATAAAGTGCAAATGCTATTAGTCAAAACATTCATCAAGCTACTGTCAATGAATAGTCAATTTCTCACCATCAGCATACCAATCAGAACAGTGCATTTGTACTTGGTTGTGTAGAAAAAAAGCTTTACCTGGTTGTGTAGAAAGAGAAATCCGATCTTTTAAGACTAGAAGTTCAGGTGACAGTTCAGCAGAACCCAAAAGCTTTATATACTCCATTGCTGTAGTCAACAGTCCTTGACTTGCTAAAATTTCAGCATATTTCTCCACAAGCTTGCAAAGAGATGCACTAAATTGCTTCTGCCCAGTTGCTAAGGCAAGAACAATCGTTTTTTCCATCAAATCCTAAAAACACGAGATTTTATCAATTTCACATCTGCAATATCTATAAGTATAAGTTGCATATCAAATTTGTAACAGCATGCACATCAATTTACCTGGAGAACATCAACATATGATCTTCCTTCATGCTCAGTTTGCAGATTCTTTGACCAAATTTCAAGTGTTTTGTCAATATTGCCAGCACATATATAACAGAACAGTTGCAGCTAATGTTTTCAGTTTCCTTGAGTTTTGAAGCAAGTGTGTCACAAAGCATTGTCCATTCATCTCTCTGAGCAAACTGTTAATAGGTTAATAGGTCAAAATAGAACAACATAAGTGTAAGCAACAGAGAAAATAACTTCATAATCAAACTTATTTCCTGCCTGGAGTTTCCTATTTATGCTACTAAGAAATTCCAGTTGAGAATTTTAGTTGACACTGCGCCAGAATGAGAGATCAAAAGTGACCTCATCTTGCATCAGGAAATTCTGCTATCCTCATGACATTATTTCTGATAAAATATATTACGCAAGAATAAATTGAGAACAACTTGGGAGAAGAATAAAAAATATCACAAAAAAAACCGTAAACCAAATTGAAGAGGCAGAGGGATCATTGTCATTGGGAAAGCAGGTCCAAAAAGTTCAGAAATGCATTCTGCATACCAGATCAGCAATTCCCTCTAAACACCCATGACGTGAGCGCCAAAATAAAGCCATAAACAAATCCTCCATGGCATTTGTAAGGGCAAAGAGATGCCCTTGGTTATGCAGGCATTTCTCCAATTATATATGCCAAAAAAATCACATAAACCACACATTCTGACAAAGGTTACTCTCCTTTTTATTGCCAAAACATTTAGCTTAGCATTTGGCAACAGGCCATCCTAATGTTCCAAAATATGGAGACCCATTTCAGCAATGCATTTTCTGTAGCACTTCTATCTTTTCTGTAGCACTTCTATCACATTTGAGAATATAAAAATATGGAAAATTTGACATCTGAATGTCACTTAAGCTAACAAATATGTGCATTCTAGATTTTTAATATCATTCCAAAATACCTAGAAGATTTCAAAGTTCTTGGGACATTAAGGCCTCATTTGCTTTGCTGTAATCATTTTGATAGAAATGGAATTGGAAATAGAAATAGAATTGAAACTGGAAAAAGAAAAAGAATTGGATTTAGAAATATGTTTGGCATAAAAAAAAAATGGGCGGAAATTTTTTTTAATTATATTCATTAAATTATTTTAAAATATAAAAAGACAATACTGTCCTCATTCACTTTCACACTATTTTTGCCCTCTTCCTCCCTGGTTATCAGCCGCGACTTAACTCAGAATCAACAATGAAGACTGTAAAACCATGTAAACTTTTAGTCAATCAACAATTTTAAATCATGCAACAAAATCAAGAAATAATGTATGAATTCTTAAATCTGGAGAAGTTTAATGTATTCTTCTTCTTCAAACCAATCACCAAGCAGGGCCTTAGGCGTATTCTTCTTCAAAGCCCAGACCTTCAAACTTGAACCCAAACCCCACAGCTTCAATGTTCATAGATCTTATTCCTTGAATCCTCGCGCTATCAAACCCAAACCCACAGCCTTTTCCACAATCTTCTTCTACTTCGAAACCCAAACGAACAAACCTAACCCCACAGCCATCCCACTTCAGCTACAATCACAGTGCTCTCCATAAAAGACAATGATGAGGGCGACGATGAGGAGTGCCGATGGATGATGAGGACACTTGGTTGCTAGATTAGGAAGAATGACAAGTGGGTATTTGGGTCAAGAGAAAAAAATTTCCTAGGAAAATAAAATTTCCCTTGGCCAAAGGCTTGGAACCCAATTTCCATTCTCTCTCCTGAAATTTGATTCCCAATAAGCTAAATTCCTCCTAACCAAACTAGAGAAGTTTCTCTTTCCTCCTCCTCCTTTTCCTTTTCTTGAGCCCAAATTCCTATGAACCAAACAAGGCCTAAAAGGATCACTTGACAAATGCCACCTTAAAGTCAATCAAGAGAGACCCCTCCTAGTTATTAAAACACAGCGCTCCAAGAAACCAAGCTACTGATCCCAAAACCTTCAACTTAAAAGTCCTAACCTTAGAAGAAGCTTTTAGGGTTCCAAATGGGCATATTAGAAGGCTCTTGCAATGAGGAGAAAGCGTAAGGAAATAAAAATATATGGAATACAAGAACACTCAAGCGAAGGAAAAAGATCAGAAACTCATTATTTCCCTCATCATCCAGGAATCTAAAGAAAGGATATTTCCCAGCCCCACTCAGAATCTGACATGGGCGCTGGTAGCAGAACTTCAAGAAACCTGAGACGAGAAGATTACCCTTGAGAAAGAAATTTCAATAATTTGCAAGAGGTCTGTAGCATTCTGTTGGCACTTGGCATTCCACCCATTAGGATCTACATCACACGCTAGATTACTGGATGCCAAGAAGAAGGAGCCACAAGGTCACATCCATTTTGCAGCGAGAATAATGTTTTCAATGCACTGGACCAGACAACCATGACCTCAACTCCTTTCTTTTCCTACAGGAAACCTCGCAATTCCCAACTGATAAGATGATCCCTCTTATTATCTGTCACGCATGACCAGAGGAGGTTCCTCATAAATTTCACAATTCTCTAGACCTTATCCACTACCATAATCCCAAAAGGAGAGCAAATTGATGGAAATACTTGACAAAAACAACTACAGGAATAGTTCATAAGGAAATTATTTTTCTATTACATTTGATATTCTCAAACACCACATGCAAACCACTTTAACACTGAACCAGAAGGCTAGACAGAAGCCATCATAACCCAGGTAGGTGTTCAATGAAACAAGTGATATCTTAAATAGTACATGCTTGAGGATTTAAGTTTTATCACTGATATAGAAGCTTTTTGCAGATGAATCTATTCCAAATTCAAAATTATAAAAAGGGAAAAAAAAACTTACACTACAAAGAAGAGCAAGAGTTTCTTTCCAAAATTTTAGAGGCCTGGTATTCACAAGGCTTAAGAGATCCTTGTTCACCATTGCAGACACAACCTGAAAGTGAACAAAATTTATTGATGAAACAATTTTAAAAACTGGAAATTTGGCATATTAAACGATAAAGTGGGTAGCAAGAAATTGATATAATGTATCATGATTATCAGCTACCTTCAAGTATGGTGATCTGATTCTCTTAAGGTATTGGTCTCGTGTACTCTCCCATAGTGAAGCACTACCTACATGAGCAATAACTAGAGCATCAGCCCACTTATTTGCAGATATGCATTGCGTAACTGCCCCTTTGTAGTCCCCAACAACTAATGCACGCTGAACACTATCATCAAATGTAGGGTCATTACTCTCCTCTACTTCTATCTCTTCTTGGGTTTTGTCCAAACCATTGGCATAATCCACATTACCCCCAGAAGTAGATACGGGTGTATCAGCTTTCGGACTAGGAAGATTGTTAAAGAAATCCTCCCCAGTATCTGGGAAAGCAGTAGATTCATTTTCAGGCCCAAGTCCTACTTTATCAACAGCTGTCTCATCAAGTCCAATAGCACTGACTTCTTGTGCAAGATCATCTACAGCTGTGTCTTTTTCTTCAATAGGTACAGTAAAACCAAGGTGTGCAAGCAGCTTCGTTCGTGCTGTCCCATCATCTTCAAACATAACCTTTAAGAAGCCCCATGTTTCTCTTTCTTCATCAGATCTGTCACAGCAATGACAGGAATCAACAGATGCAAATGTCCTACTGTCCTAGGCAGAAGGCATCAAAACAAACATCACAATATATTGCTCTTCTTTAGGAGAACATACTCTGATTCCTGAAACTTCTTGTCACATAAAACCCTCAGCAAAGACCTTTCCCCATTATGTATTGCGGCTTCAAATTCAGAGGAACGACTCGCTAGACTTTGTTCAGTAACCATATTATGCACATAAACCTGGAAAATAATAAAATGAAAAAATAAAATAAATTTTTGAAAACTTAAGGAACTAAGATAGGGGCTTTCCAGTAATAAAAGAATACCTCTGAAGGCCCAGCAGGAGCATTTGTGGCAGATGACTTGGTATTAAATGATACAAGCTTGCCACCAAAACCAAAAGACACCCCAACTGGGCGTTTGTACCATTTTGGAGCTCTTAGAGATACTGCCAAGACAAGAAAATAATAAATCCCAAAACTAGCATATGAGACCAAGGTATATTAAAAGAAGAGAAAGCCATGTCTGGCACACCAAACCCTTCTTATCCCAAAAGAAAAGAAGAAGAAGAAGGCTTAAAAGATGAGTTGCACAGAGTTTTGTTTGTGCTTGTCAAATACAAGTGACAAATTAAGAAAAGTAATGAACAGTAGATGCGGGTAAGTTCTTTCGCAGCTAGAAAAGTGTCACCTGTCCCAAAATCATTTTGCCCAGCATCATGCCGACTGCAGCCCTGCAAATAATTACATATATTAAAATTAATAATATGGAGAATAAAGAGACCTCCAGCAAGAAAATCCAAAAAGAATGGATAATATCTGTCCCTAATAAGAAATCAGAAACAAGCTCCATTAATCGCATCTCCACATTAAGCATGGATAATATATTTTTGGCCCCTTTAACTTTTCTTGTTTATTTTTGAAATACAATTTTATTAATATATCAAAAGTTACACAAAGGGGGAAAAGGTCCCGTCCATATATGCATTATTAGACATGGCTTTGACAAAGACCAAAATGACTACTATCTACTATATTTATAATCAACGGTAATATCAATAGAGCATGTAAAGACGCAGACATCACTTATCTACTCATTTTCCATCTCACTTCATCAAATCCCACACTTTCTGAAAAAAGAACTACATCAAATTTAAAGGACAGTCAAAATTCATCACTTATAACGACCATCAAAATCACAGGTATTTACCTCAACATTGTAGAAGCCAATTTTTCCATCAAAGGAAGATGCTGAAATTACTCCAGGTATTTTAGAATACCAATGCACATCAAAATTCCAGTTGGTCCCAGCAGGCAATTCACGTACAATCTAAAACCCAGAAAAACGTCACTACACAACAAAATTTCTTACATAAAAATAATTCAACCTAGAGGATAACTTCCAAACTTGCAGGTGAGAGCAGAAGGCTAAACAACACCTCTCCAGAAGTTGTGTCCCAGCATATGGTACGACTATCTTTGGCAGAGGTAACTAAATAATAGCTATCATAGGGACACCAAGACATTGCAATTACACCTAAGATTCAGAAAACAAAAGAACATCACTTTAAAGTGATGGCATATAATGCATAGCTTCACAATAAAAGCTAAATGCTAGTAAACATAATGATAGAGGCAACCAAATGATGGCTATGGAATATCAAAAGTAGTTAAAAGAACAAAAAAAGATGATAATACAAGTGTAAGTACCTCTGCTGTGTCCCACAAACTCTTTAATTGGTGCCATTATATTCCTCATATCCCAAAGCTGCATCAAAATGTTCAATTTCATGAGCTCAACACGTACAAAAAATTAGATAAAGACAATTTATCTGTAAAGTCTATACCCTCACAGCAGGAGAACCATCTTCATCTGATGCAACAACTAGCTCAGTGGCAAAATCAGGATTCCACTGCAAAACTGAACATCGTCTTTTAACAGAATCTGCAAAGCTATGATTTCAAAGACAATACACCAGGTTATCATAAATTTTTTTCAATATATAATATCAGACTTCTTTATATTTACAAGCAAAAGATGACCGACCCAAGTAAAGAAAGTAAGTTACCTTATCACCGGCTTTTGCTTCCTTAGGTCCCAGACAACTGCAAAGAATTAAAAAAAAAAAATAGTATTCCAAACAGTACAAGTTTGAGAACAGAGTAGAGAAGTGTGACACAATTTCTTCCCTCACCAGTGGTCCCATTATATGAAGTTGATGCTAATATGTGTTGGACTTTGCTATTCCAAGATAAGAATGAAATTTCACCCTGGGAAGCAGAGCCAGTACCCTGCAAAATGATAGTATATATTGATTTAAAAATACTGAAAAAATAAATAAATTAGAAAGACAAACACTTTTAGAAAACAGATTTATCAGTCAAAAAGAGTAACATCAAACAAACACAGAGAGAGACACACGCGCACTCAGAAGGAGGATATCTGACCCTGAGAGGTGGGAAAATGAGATGGCTCTGAAGGATTGGCCAAATCCCAAATGCAAATTTCACCATCATCAGCCCCAGATGCAAGAAGATTGGGGGCAATGGTATTAAACTCGAGACCACGGACCTACAATATGAAAGCAAGTGGTAGGATTTTAAAGGTCAAGCATGCATCATACATTCCAGAGAACAAAGAGCAATAATAAACTGAAGGCTTGCTCATATCAGCAAAAGAAAACTTACTGGCCCTTTATGCCTCAGAAGATGCTGAAGAAAAGCACTTTCTTTTACCTCCGAACTGAGCAAATAAATCAATTTAATAAATTATTTGAAAAGACAAAGAAGGGATTTGCATGTGGCTTCATAACTCAGAAATACTGAATTTTTACCAACACTTTAAAAAGACATGAAAGAAAGACTACAGGCTAGAAAAAATGAAATACTTGCTTCCCTTATAGGCAATGCATGTATTGCTCTATTTACATGACAACAGCACTACAATGATCTGAATGGAAGTGAACCTTGAGTTATCATTAGATAGGGTGCCTATAAGAGATCATCATCTCCAACATTCATCAATTGACTGACAACAGACAATCATCCACTTGCTTGCTTCCAGTAAAACAACTAGTGCCCTCCAGTTCTGCATGTTATATCAGCAACCTATGCCTCCTACACTCCCCTATAATTTTGCTAGACAAAGAGACTACCAAACCCATTCACCATGTTGATGAATAATTCTTAACATTGCACAACCCCTACGCTTCAAAAGCAAACAATAAAGTAAACAAACAATCGAATATTGACTGATAGTATCGAACAGAGAAGGAATGTTAGAAAGATTTTAATTTATACTAAATTAAACTTTCTAATAATAAAACTTTCTCCTACATAAAAAAAAAAAAATTTCTCCTACTCAATTTCCTGAATTGCTGAAACAAAACCATTCAGCACCCTCCATCTAGAAGTTAGTCGAACTAGTCAAAATCCCTTAAAACAATTCAGTCGCAACGAAGTTCTGGGAGTTCCAAATTCACTCAGTTGAACCATTCCCAGTAGGTCTCCATTCACACAGAACTCACACCACCCCAGACACATTCATTCTCAGAGATCCAAGGTGAAAAAAAAGAAACAAAAAAACAAAAAAAAAAGAGCAAAACCCAATTACCGGATCAGGGTGAGAGGATTCCAGAGGCCAATATTTCCATCCACCAGCCCACCAGCAACGAGCCCAAGAGAGAAACCTTCAGAGGCAGAACTACTCTTTCCCCAGGACAGACGATTGAACCGCTCGGAGCTCGTGCACTCCCCGACCAAGGGCAGTTCCTGATCGTCGGACTGGAAATCAAGGTTGAATATTTCGAGATTAGCAGAAGAGCTAAAGGACATATCAACTGCCCCCGCCATGGTTCCGGCCGCCATGTACGGTGCCTCCGGTGCCAGAGCCACGGATGCCGATCGATTTACCCCTTTTATGCACGCCATTCGAATCGGGGAGCCAAATTATGCAAAATTAAATCCCAAATTCAAGTGTGTGTATAAAGAAAGAGGGTGGATCTAAGAGTTGAAAATTGTATGAATGAATTCGGATGGAGTCGATCCGATCTGAGAAAATGTGTGTGAGAGAGAGTGTGAAGAACTACTGTGTGTGTGTGTAATATTGGCTCTTCGCTCGTATCTTCCCAGTCTCAGTTGTGTCAGCAATGGGGGAATCACTACCTATTTTCGCGTTGCGGTGGGTTCGTTTATCACTTACTACCGGGTTCCATGAGAATACATATGGCTTCTTTCTTTGGGTTTCGCGAGAAATCAAACGGTGATTTTGTCTGATTTTATTACTCCCGGTCAGAAGAAAAGAAACTTACGATGCGTTTACAATATTTGTATATGTACATATGACAAAAAGATATTAGTCTTTTTTTTTTATTGCCTTTTTCTTTCGTTTCTATTTTTTTTTTTTTACTTATAAATGCTCTCATTAAATCGAAGTTTTGTTTAAAATAAGGTTAGGCATGAAATGTGATGCCAATATTAATAAAAATTTAATTTTTTAATCATTTAATTTTTTAACTCAATTATAGTTTAATTATGATTTATTGTAACTTAGTTTCTCTACTTTTAAACTTTTGACTCGTTTATAAATCAATCTCTCAACTTTTGTTAGTTTTTTTTTTTTATATTAGCTTAAATCCCACATCAAAGAATAAGAAAATGATATTTTAGAGTAAGATATGAGCATTTATTTTATCTCTATTATTTGACAAGGATAATTTTTAAAAAAAAATTTGAAAAATTAGGACCAAGTTATGAGTAATCAAAATTTGAGGAATTAAGTTGCAACAAATTATAGTTGAAGAATTGAGTCACAATAAATCATAATTAAAAAACTGAGTTATAAATAAGGGATTAAAAAATTAGTTTTTTTAAATTTTAATTTTAATTTGCCATGTTGTGAAAGGCTAATCTCTCCACTAAACCCATTCTTATTGATAATTTATTAGTTATTCTTTTTTAAAAGCAAAAGTTTATTTATTATTCTAATTCCTTTAATTTTCACACAAAAAGGAAAATGACAATTAAGGATCTTCTAAGAATATTAATGATAATGAAAACTTTGCATATTGAAATGTCAAGGAAAGACCATGGTCTTTATTTATAATTAAAATAAATAATTATTAAAATAACTAATAGAATGTAACTTATGAATCAATGAAAAATCAATTGTGAATGAATAAATAATTTATAAATTTATGTATTGTTACTAATAAATTTGAGCATATTCACTTGTAAATTTTAAAAATATCAATAGTGAATTTATAAAACTTTAGTTATGAATAAATAGATAGTCTCATGAAATTATGCATGATTTAAGAATAGTCAATTATGAATTTATGAAATGTTACTTATAAATATACTCCCTTCATTCAAAAATATGAAATATTTTTAACTAAATCTCACCCCCAATAAAGTAGTTACTTACTTTTCAACAAAACTATCTTTTTATATTTACTCTTATTAAACACCATAGAATAAATATAAAGTCATTATCAATAGGGGCACTTTTAAAAAAAGCAATAATTACACCTTGAAAGACTAAAAATGTCTTATATTTTTGAATATCCAACTCTTCAAAAAATGCCTTATGTTTTTGAATAGAAGGAGTATAAAACATCAATTGTGAATGAATATAAATATTCTTTAATTGTAAATAAATGATTTAGGGACTCTCTCATATTTTTTCTATTTACAACTAACTTTTTATATATTAACAAGTAATTTTTCAAAAATTTACAAGTAATTCTTCGTAAATTACAAATAATGATTTATATATTCATTCTGGCAAAAAAAATGTTGTATATATTTATAAATGTATTTATTCCATTTACAATTGATTTTACATATATTCATAAGTGATCTTTTTTTAAATTCACCACTAACTTTCCCTATTCATGAGTGATCTTTTATTGGTTATTTCAACAATTAAAAACATTGCAATTACAAATAAAAATCATGACCTTTTTCTAATATTTCAATATTTTGAGGTCTTCAATTATCATTAACGTCTTTACAAGATTCCTAATTATTATTTTCCTTTAAAAAATTCCCTTTAATTTGATATATATCTAATGTTAGCTTCCATAACTTCAATAAATACACGTAAAAACCATGATGTAACACTTATGGAGTTAATTTCACTCACATATGATATACTTAACTCTATTAACCTTTTTACTGACATAACAAAGATATGTCGACATGCAAATAAATTGACCAGGTCTAATTAAATTCTTTTATATCTGGCTTCAAACAAAATGTGAAAGAGGAATGCGAATGTGGGTAGGGCAAATAATGCATTTGTCCAAAAGTTTTATTCATCGAAAGACAAAACAGGATGCATTCATCAGATGTCTCATTGATAAAGTTAAATACGCGTAATGAAACTTTCTCTCTCAGCACTAACTCATAGTCTTTATGTGTATTTTTTAAATTATAATGATTAATATTGCAGATGGATCAAATTAGAGGAATTAAGAATAATAAAATTTAGGGATTAAAAACAAATCGTAATCAAAGTATAACTATCTATTATTGTATTTCCCTAAAATCTATTACTCTGGAGTTAATGGCATTAGTTGCTGCTTAGGTGGGTGGCAACGAAAGAGAAAAAGAAAAGAAAACCCAATGAAAGACTTAGTGTATGTTTGAATTTTTATTTACATTTAGCAAAAATATATTTAGGAAATTCAATTATTTGTTAGATCTGATAAAAGCACATCCTAAATGTGGTTTGGACATACTTTTAAAGGTTACCCAAACAAGTCCTTGGTAGTGAAAACATAAGCAATGTGAAGACTTGTACAAAGCATAAAAAAATATGAAAACGACAATAAAGAGGAAGAAAATCTGAAAGCTTGTACAAAGCATATGCGTAGATCTAAAGCTGAGCAAGATAGGAAGCATCTGCCTTTAAGAGGAACAAGTATCTCAAGGATAGAGAAGTGGGTATTCACTTTGCTTTGTAGGAAGTAAGGTTGGATTGTAGCGATGGTGGGTATTGTTGAAATTTGTATGTTTTGTTGATCACTTGGCTAGCCACCGCTAAGGGCACATTAGGTGGTATTTGCAGGACCATTCTACATGCTTTTCTTTGGCTAGGATTGTAATGGGAATGTGAGACTTGTTTGGAACACCTCCTAGTTTATTTCTATAAGGAGGGGAGTCATAGTCCACACTTGGATTGTATACTTTTGACCGGGTATACTTCCTTGGGTCAACTTTTTCATGATCTAAATCTGACTCTATTAGACTAATTGTCAGCCATTCACCTTAGTCGACAATAAAGGTTGGAAAACGAGGGATAGTGAAGGTCAGGTTCTAAGCATCAATGTTGATTGTTTAGTTTGTTTACTTTAAATTTGTATACTTATGTTTGGAAAAATGTACTCCTGTCATTGTGAAAGAGATTGTGAACTTAGTTGAGAAAATTATACATATTAATTGTGAAACTAGTTTTAAAAGGATTTGCCGATATAGGTTAGAATAATCATGTGTGTTAATGAGATGTTAAATTTTAACTGTTACCTCTTCACATTTCAAGTGAGAGTTTCGATGGATCACAATAAAAGGCATTAGAAGAGGAGTCTTTGGGCTCTTCCTTTTGACCTCATGACTTGTGCATGTCTAATGTCATATTTTTTTCATTTGCCATGACCTTAAGACCTTGTCTTTTATATACTTTGGATTTCAATTTATAACCATTTATGACATATTTTGTTCGTTTGAAACTTAATAAGACCTTGTCTTTTACTATAAAATTATGGACAAGAATGATTGAGCATAAGTTGAAATTGAAAATTGATATTTCTAAGAATTAATTCGGCTTCATGCTAGATAGAACGATTATAAAAGCGATTTATCTACTACAGAAATTAATGGAAAAGTATCGATGTAAAAGTAAAGATTTACATATGATTTTCATTGATTTAAAAAAAGCTTATGATCGTGTGCCGAGAGAAGTACTTTGGAAGGCATTGGAAAAGAGGGATGTCCAGATTGCCTATATTCAAGCTATACAAGACATGTATGAGGGGTAATAAATTAGTATAAAAATGTTTAATGGCGAAATAAAAGCTTTTCTATAAAAATTGAACTACATCAAAGATTATCTTTAAGTCCTTATTTGTTTGATGTAATCTTAGATATTTTGATTGAGCATATTTAAGAAGAAATTCCTAAATACATGCTTTTTGTGAATGATATATTCTTATTGCGGAAACAAAAGAAGAGATTCATTATAAACTTGAGTTATAGAGGAGGACACTAGAGTCAAAAGGTTTTTGCTTGAATAGGAGTAAAATGGAATATCTACAGATAAGGAGTCGGTGAATAGTAACTTGAAAGTAAAATTGGGTGATCAAATCATACCTCAAGTGAAAAAGTTTATATATTTGGAAGCGATTATTCAACATAATGGGAAAATTGATGGAGATATTATACATGGAATTCAAGTTAGGTGGTTTATTGGAGAAAGGCTAAAGAAGTTATTTGTGATCATAAGGAACCTAATAAACTTGAAGAAAAGTTTTATCGAACTATTATAAGACTACAATATTATATAATCGTAAATATTGGGCTTTAACGGAACAGCAAGAGCATAAAGTTGGAGTAACAGAGATAAGAATGTTGAGATGAATGTGCAAATTACATGAAAGATAAAATTCGAAATGAGCAAATGCAGAAAAACTGGTCGTTGCACCTATTGAAGGAAAAATGGTAGGAAACCATTTAAGGTAGTTGGACATGTATAGAAAAGACTACAGGAGGCACATGTGAGGAGAATGGAATGTATGACTTTGAGTCCTGTCGAGAAGGCTAGAGAAAGCCAAAGAAACACTTTTAAAAGTTGTTAAGCGAGACCTTTTAATTAACATATTTTTAAAAATTTAATAAATGATAGAGCACAATGATGTCATATAATCTATGTAACCGACCCCATCTGTGGAATAAGACTTGTTATTATTGTTTGAAACTTGTAAGAAGGGCAACCTTTATTGACTCCGACTTGATTATTTTTAATGGGCTAAGAATTTGCAAAAATTGTAAGAGAGATATGAACCATTCACACATACAATTTTAATGTATGTTGAGCCAAATCTAGTCATTTCAGTGTTTACTAATACCACACCATCAATCAATCATCAATCAACTATCAACTATATTCTACAAATCTGTAGAAAGAAACCGATGGGTCCAAAAATTCTTAATTTCATTAATCACTCTACTTTGGT